CTCTCTCTCTCTCTCTCTCTCTCTCTCTCTCTCTCTCTCTCTCTCTCACTCGCTGTTCCGTTGAACAAGTGTTTGTGTGCACGAGGCTATTGCCAAGTGCAAGAAAAGGCTCCAAATCACTAAAACAGCAGCTACAACACAATTTTTTTTGAATCGACACAGCCAATATGAATAATAACTGTAATGTGCTCTCTCTCTACCTCTGTTTTTGAAATGAGAGGAATATGCCAGCGCGACATACGGCAAGCGAGAGAGGGCGAATACGAGCGAACGACTGAAAAAAAAAACAATAACAACAAAACGTGGCAGCAACGAGTCAATGTCGAGGTCATACATTTACGATTTGTTCGACGTCGCGCACACGAGCGATAATTCAATTGAATCGAAATATTAGAATTTATAATCGGTGATATCAATTTCAAGTAATTTTTTCCTTTCTACTCAACTCTCTCTCTCTCTTAACAGTACAGTTATGATAAAATCCTGTTGTGTTTTTCCTAACGAAATTGTTACAGAAACCACAAACGAGAGGGACAGAGAGAGATGGAGGGAGAAAGAAAGCAGGAGAGAAGATGAAAAAGAAAACAAATGAAATATTCCGATGGTGTTGTACAGTAATTATCGAATGAAGCGTTCGCGCGTCACGATGATTTGTCAGAAGCAAATACAAGAACAACGAAAAAAGCAACACACACACGACGGTGTACAAAATTGCGCTCATGTATTAAAACGGTATTATTCAACCGTAATAAAATTAATTAGATTTGCATTCCATATAATAAATGCAATATATACATATATATATATATTTCCAACTAGAGCACGATTGGTATTTCACCATCGCAATTATATAAGTTTTTAATATGAGTTGCAATTTTTTTTCTTCATTTTTTTTTTCGGCACGTGTAACAGCAGTTCAGGTAGAGAGTGAGTGCGCGTTCTACTGCACTCACTTTTTTTGATAAAAAAAAGGAACACATTGGCTTATATTTCATTTCTTGGAATGTAATGAGTAAATAGCTGCTGAACCATCAATACACTCGACGTCGTGACTTTGGAAGTTGTCCTCTTCGTATGTTTAAATATATACATTGGATTGGCGCGATTATGAGAATCAAAATAGAATGTCTCTGAATGACTAAGTCGCCAGCTTGTTTGAGAAATCATACGTATATTTGTTTGTACAAATATAATTATCAATTTATCCGCATAACCTTGAATCGTTTGTTATTTTGTTCTTCTTCTTTTTTTTCTGTCGGTGTCAGCATTGTTGACGTTGCGATTGTTAATTTTCGCCGTTCATTTCGATTTGATGGCAAGCGTGTGTATAAGCGCGCGAGCGCTCCATTCTGCGCACATCATCACATCAACCGAAATCGTTGGTAACAACAACAACAACAATAAAAAAATTGTTCCATTGTGATATGGATTGCCAAAAATTGATTTTGAAGCTGTTAAAAGTGTCATATTTTGTTCAATGTTATATTTTGGCTATTTATTCATTTTCTGAATGTCATACAGCACATAAACACACACACACACACACAAAATGTATATTCAATTAAGAGATGCGCATATCGTACTCAGAATATCATCCTGTTTTATTTTATGACGATATCCATTTGACCGCCCTCCAGTCGCGATTGCTTTATCGAAGGAAAATCGAGTCGCACGTGTTGAATGTGATAAAGAAATGTATGGTGAAAATGTACATAGAGAGAAACTAATGAGAGAGTCACCACAGTGTATACACATACAAACGCCGATTTCAGTTTTGAACTTGGCGAAAAACAGTGAGAAACCACGTAGTCAGTTATCGTTTTAGGTAGTTTGTTGTCAATATAGCAAATCTCAAACAATAAACATGTTACACGCGCAAACGTTTAGTTCAGTACACACAGAAACAGAGCGAGAGAGGGAGAGAGAGTGAGGCGAGCGCAACTGAAAATGAAGTATATTATGGGAAAAATAACAACAACCAGCAAATGTGCGCGCGATAAAGATATAAAAAAAACGCTAGGCATATGCGTCATCCCAATGATCATAGCCCCGATGTGTACATTTGTTTCATTTCTATTACACAGTACACTGGCTCCGAATGCCGAGAGTTCCAGGAAACGATAGAGTTCTAATGCGCGAGCAATGTATGTATTTTCCATTTTAAGAGCAACGGCTGCGATACAAAGAAAGACCAATGAAGATGATCACGTTGATGTGTGTGCATAAATTAAATGGATGCACGTGTTCTGGATCGAAGTGGTTTGCAATTCATTTGTCTCCAAAACTACCGGAAAAACAACACTGTGTGTGTGTGTGTGTGTGTGTGTGTGTGTGTGTGTGTGTGTGTCGATTTCAAAATCAAATTGGATGTTTTTTTTCTCAACTTTTTGATCACTTTTAACATGCAATGCGCCTTATCGACACGATCTACATGGTTGTGACTCAAAAACAATGTTAGATTTGCTATTACTTGACACAACAGCAACGTCAGTGAATTCACTTTAGTGCAAATCATTTACTGATTGGACTTTGTGCACGAGTAAAATTCATTTTTCCCGCGTGTCGGTCAAATGGCTTTAAAATCGAACCATTAAATGACGATTGCAAATCGTGGAAAGTTTGAACGGTATAGAGTCATAGAGCATATCGTGAGAGACTGTAATGTGAAGAAATCGAAGTGCCGCTGCTATGTCTACGATATGGATGATGTGTATATGCACAGCTCTCTTTCTCAGGGTTCTTACAGAACAGTATATTTGTTCGGTGCGTGTGTGTGCGCGCGGGAACGAGTGAGTGAGCGATCGATCGCCATGTGTCTGGCCATTATTTCGATATGAAGCAAGAGCGGCGAGAGGAGAACGCGTGTGCAAATGCACAAAATTTTATAAATACACAAACGCGTTATTACTAGCAGTAACCTTGAAATTGAAAATTTATTTGTCGGGGAGGCTTTTCTCTGTCTAACTTTTGTTCGTCTTTCGTTTTAATCTTGTGTTCTTCCCTTTAAAAAAAAAAACAATTTGACATTGAAATCCTCCGTTTTCATCGATGGAGACATATAAACTCTCGATGTAAATATATACGTCGTTTACCAATGGTGTTTTTTGTTTGACGTGTGCTTCGACTTTGTTTCTTGAGTATGAGAGAGACGAGTGAGGGCAAAGTTTTTTCTCCTCTCTCTCTCTCTCTCTCTCTCTCTCTGTCCCTCTGCTGTTCTGTTGTTGTTTTTCATTGTTTCTGGAAATATGAGCACGTTTCGATTGGCGATGTTCCGTTGGCCGACATTCAATCACCAGGATATATAAATGTGCAATGTCAGGGTTATTAGAAGCCACTTTGCACTAAAGCAACCATTTGTTGAGCACATTAAAAATGTGATAATGAAAAATGAGCCATGGCATTTTGTGTTGCGTAGTTTTATGTGTGTGTTTCGTTTTGACAAGCCTCTATGTAATTTGAGGTGTTAACTTGGCCTAACTTTTCCCGTGAACGGAAAATGCAAAGCGCTCATTTCGCACAAGTGTTCAAACACCGGAAACGTCCAATGTTATCACACTATCGGTGTGGATATTATCATTGAAATGGGTAATAAAAAAGGCTTGAAGAAGATTACAGCGATTATTCAACGTCAGGTTGATATTACGTAATTGTGGTTCCATGTCTTTGTTCTTATTACGCGTTCGCCTCCCACTCACTCACTCACTCACACTCACACACACCGTGGAATAATAGTGATATCGTCAATAGGGCAAAATCTAATTGAATATCGAAATAATAGATCATGCAAGGAATATAGATTCCATAGGCAAACATACCA